GTAAGTATGTGCGTAGGTTGGTATTTTGTAGCCTAATAAACTTGAATGACTTCTTTAAATGATACGATAACGAACTAATTTAGAAAAATTTAAGTAACCAAATGTTGAAGTCATAAAAACCTTACGACATAACGATAAGGTAATAAATTATTCTTCGAAACACCGTCATAACTCGTATAATTGGTTTACTAAAAGTAGTTTGTTAACTTAAATCTCAGCATTTAGTGATTTCACTTACCGTTAACTATTAAAGGTGAAGAACCACTTGAAAGCGAGAATTGAGTAGATGTTTCTGTCCAGGTTTCAACTGATAAATGATATGTAAACTCTTCCAAGTGAGTCGTGTCTTCCGGTCAGCAATCATGTTGATTATCGGATATATGTAGCCGATAGAGATTTGCGATTTTCATGAAATACCACAAGCCAAATAAAGTTACAGATTTTAAACATTTGATGTCAACTCGGCGGCTAGAAATGGAATTCATGATACGTTTTTCCTCCTATACTGTTCTACACAGCTGTATACAACTGAATCTCGTTAAACAACAGTTTACAATCCTATATGTCAACAATAACAACAGCCAGACACTGAAGAGTAATACATATCATACTACTAAATGAGTTACCGGTTATTTTGACTCTGTAACTCAGAGGATAGCGTGATGACATGATAAACAATAAGTAATGATTCCCTGAAGAAGTCCAGACAAGTTAGCTGGACGAAACGTTGGAATTATTTAAATTTCAATCGCTGAGACTATTTCAAATATAATTTTTTTCAAATATAATGAATAAGTAATGAGTCTTAATGAGACCAGATGAAGATAAGTGATACCTAGAAATCAGTCTGACAATATAGCATTTATTATTTTGGATACAACTAAAATGAAGTTTAGGGCATTTTGTTTGTTACAGAGCTATTATTTTGTACATACTTCACCCACTAAAATTCACTGTTAGAAAACTACTGAAGAACTATCGTAAACTGAAGATTTATTTTGTTTGTAACGCGAGTAAAATAGTATTAACTTCATGTGGTTAAAAAAATCAGGGTCATTAGTCTTTTATTGAGGAGGAAGCAAATAAAGATAAATTGTACAAGTATCGAAAAAATATTCTTCTGTTCATGTTCTACAGCAGTAAATTCGCAAATAATATATTACAATGTTCAGTTTGAGCCAGATTTTATCCTGGAAATCTATGCTACGACCCCATCACTCCGTTTTCATCTTTTTGGAAAATATAATGGTCGAAAATTCTATACAACAGAAATTTCAAAATAAAATATGCCTGTTATTATTATTATTACTCGAGTTACACAATTAATTCTGACGATAAAGATCTCAAGGTTGATCCATTCACCCTTTGAATAATCCTGCCTAATGATCAATTGCTATCTGTAGAGGTGGAAAGTTCGATCTGCTGATGACTAGATACGAAAGTTCCCAGTTAACCAGTTAGTCTTGAGTCTTCCGTTTGTGAACTGATTTTTTCGTCCTCATATTTCTACCCTCTAAAAGGTGAAAGAATCTAGACTGTTGATTAGTCATTCATCAACTCCTAGTTAACAATAATTATCCCTTCATCACAAGCATGTAAAATAGCGCAATTAGAATTATTTGTTGACGTTTTATTAGTGCCGGGTCAGTCAACAAAATACACGTAGGCTCTTTGGAAGTCCGTTACTATTTGTTACATTTAGAGTCACGCTTCATATCTTGATTTCCCCCCATGCAAAAGTTCACTATTTTGTAATCCCTTTTCAAATTGATTTGTTAGTGATTTTCAGATCATTCTCGTCTTGCTATTTATTGAGTCAATGAATGACAAATCGTTGAAAAGATTAAGTGTAAATTTCAACAGTTTATGAGGGTTTCAAAAAATAAAGCTCATTTTTTCTACAGACTTAGATATGACCATAGGTACCATCCTGTAGTTTGGATTTTTGATTCTAAAGCAATCTGTGCATGAAAGACAGAGGTAGTAGTTTTTTTGAGACTTCCGAGTGTGTACATTATTCTCATCATGAATTTCGGAATCTGCGGCTTTAGTTCCTAAAGTCCATTTGGAACTGGGTTATTTCCAGTGTCATAAGTGTTCATGTCTGAACAGTTATGATTATCACTAATAATTGACCAATTTTTATTTATTTATTATTTAAACACATATTGGTACAAAGGATCACCAGATACACATGCGCCACACAGATCTGATTTTATTTATGTGAGGAGTGTGATACTGCCCGAGTGCCCAGATCGAAGCAGGTGGTTTTCTTAAGGAGCCACACCCGGAGCCTTTGACCTGAAGATCTGATCCACAAGGCAGTAGAGCATCGCGAGTAGCCGGTGACCAACAATTGGTTCATATGCCATTTGTTCCCTAAGAATGCTGGAACTCATGTGCTCCATTGGTTTGGAACCAGGGTTTTCCAACTCCCCTAGGTGGACTTTCCGTGTCCACCAACCATTTCATTGTGAACACAAATATGTATCTTAATAAAACTACTAATATAAAAGGGTTGGTTGAACATTCCGTATTTTAAATGTATAATAAACCTTTTCTTGAAATTATCAGAAGTCTGTATTGCTTTAAGATATTAGTATATAATTCCCATTTTAACATTAAAATTAAAACACGGAGTTCAAACCAGAACTATGCGTGCAAAAGAAGTACGTCTTATCATTATCGTTACCATGGCCTTAATATTATTATTATTCTTTTTATTATTATTATTATTATTATTATTACTATTATTATTATTACTCCATTCCCCTTTACTTATATTTTATATTCTCATTATTTTATTCATGAATACTCATCAGATCATCTTATTTATTTTACACCTCTATGACCTTTAATTATTGTATCCAAAACATTTTATTCATTCTAATCATCTTATTATAATCTTGGTTATTAGTGTTCACATTTCCTCACGGAATTAGTACTTTAATAAAACATTTTCATATATATACGACTGTACAGCTTGATAATAAATTCGTTGAAAAGAGATCCCTTCGCTAAACTCCGTGTTTTAATATTAAGATATTACTCTAGAACTTAATGAATGTGTAAATCAGAAGGGATTTTGTGGAGATTTCAGTATTTTCATAGTTGAAATCATGAGTCAATTGAAGCTAGACTACCATGTAAAATCTGGAAGCACTGGACGGCCGTTTCGTCCTATTATAGGACTCATGATTTCAATTATATATAAAAATTACTAAAAATCTCCACAGAAAACCCCCTTCGTTATCATTTGTTTGTAATTTACTGCCTGTTTCCGTTTGTATTCTTCACTATCTAATTATTTACATACTTCTTATTACGTAATGACTTTAATGTTTTGTGATTACTATTCTAAGTCTCTTTACCCACGTTTGACCTCCTATTTCCTATATTTAACTATTGATAAGACTTTTGTTATCGTAATTTAATGTTCTTACTACTATCAGTATACCTATCTTCTCATTATCAACGTGTACTTTTACCTATTATACTCAGTGACGTATTTTATTTCATTGTGATTATTGACTCATATAGCCTTGAATAGTCTAACATTTTCGTATAAATATTCATGTATATTAGAGTAAATTTCAACTGATCCACGAAGTTAAGCAACCATTCACCAATTGTCATCAGTGAGTTCCTATATCACGACAGACGTGGTTTGCACTCCACTGGTCACGAGCGCAGGTTCGTGGATGCGCACGGCTGAGGAGTCCCACAATAGGACGAAACGGCCGTCCAGTGTTTCCAGGTTTTCCATGGTGGTCTAACTTCAATTGACTCATGCTTTCAACTATGAAACATGCTAAATCTCCACAAAACCCCTTCTGATATTAGAGTAAAGCCTGATGACGATCTAATTGAAAACAATTGTTCTCTTACATATGTTGTTCTAAAAAAAATTTTATTTTGATAAAAGGTAATAAGTATTGACTAAATTTCACTATGTAATTTCTCCTCATTATTTTTGTTTGTATTTTGATTAATGAATCATTTTTATTTAAGTCTCGTATATGGTGTGATAATTAGAAAATTATTCAATTGTTTAGAGACAAAAGAATGTTTTCTTAATATTAATATAATAATGATGACACTACTGAAAAAAAAAACAAAGAAAAACTATTAAAAAATCTTCTGATTGATAAAAAAAATCATACCACCAGAATAATGTTTAAATAAAAAGAGAACCATATATATACAGATAGATAGATAACTGCGAAACTATCAAAACAGTTATTCAGATCTATACAGAATGATATTTTGTTACGTTGGTCTAATAACAGCCATACTGACTACATTAGTACAAGGTAGTTCTTTTATATAATGTCCGAAATTTATCATCATCATAATTTGATCACTATGATCATCTTGATTATTATCAGGGAGGAGGAGTAGTGATTAGTATCGTGTTGTTTATCGATAATATACATAGTGGTTAAATACTCGATGTAATTCATAATCTAAAAGGAACATGTTGAGTGTCATATTTAAGCATAGATTTGAAGAAGACTTCGTTTCAACTAAGTACAAAACATTCTTTTAAGAATGTAAATCAAACTATTTAATTTATCTACTACATAAGCCACAATTATGACTTCCATCTAGTATTAATTAATAAAAGTATCAGTCGTTTGCTTGACATCCTTTTTACATACAATTCGAGTTCACAACATAATGCAAAATCCCAATAATCATTCCTATATCCACCCAATGTATTTTCTTATCCGATATATTGTTATCAAGTATGTCACACTAACTCACAGTATTTATATTGATGTATTTTCCTCTTTCATATATTCGTCGTTGGAAATTTTGAATATTAAGCGGTGACTGAGTCAGATATAAAAAGAAAATATCGATATGATTGCGCTATATATGAAGCGAATATTAAACAAACTCCGGACAAAGATTATAAATATGAATTAGAGTTATTGGGTTCAAAGTCCCTGAAGGCAGTGGAAACTTTAAATAAAGTGGAATTGTGTGATATACCAATGTGTAAAAATATAGTTTTAAAATTTGATATCTATGAGAAGGAAAAGAATGGCAGCGAATTCAGAAACATCTTCTCAAAGCAATATGAAAAGTCTTTAGGTAAGTATTCCAACAAATATTATATATTCGAAGAGTTATTTACTAATCTAGAAAGTAGTTATTACGTTTTTAATACATTGCTCTAAGACAACACCGTTGTCGTCAGAAGTAAAAGCATGGTAATCATGAATATAATTTTACATTACAGAAGCACCTAAAATCAGTGAATTGAAAGCACGTTTCGCAAAAACCGAAACTATCATTAACTGGAAACTTCAAGATTACGAAAATTGCAAGGACAAAGAATTGCAATTCTTCCTATTTGGTGATAAAACGGTTATGCAGATGGCTAAAGGACAAGAAATCAGGATTCCATTTTTAACAAGAGGTAAAACCTACACTGTATACGCCTTTCCAAATCATATGGATACTGAAACCGCTGTATACACAAACACTGGAGTTGATATCAAAGTTCGTAAGTTGCCGAAATATTATTTATTTAACATTTAATCACCATTTCGCGTAATACGTCATGTTCACTAAGTACATGAGCTGTGATAGTATATTTGACAAGTTAACTAGGCAGAATAATAAAATTATAGTGAACAAAAGTTACACAACAATTCTACTGGTAAAAGACATTTCACATAAACTGAAAGAGAATGACTAAAATAACTGGACATCACCATTAGTCTCTACAGTTATCAACATATTGGTACATACTAAACTATTCGTTAATCACGTATACACCTCAAGTCACTCAACAGCTACACAAAACAACTTTTATTCACTCAGAATGTGTGTTATTCAGTTATCGACACACATTCAATCAGAACTAACCATAAATAATAATAATAATAATAATAATAATAATAATTATTATTATTATTATTATTATTATTATCTCCCATGTCACGTAATCATTTGTCGTTTTCCTTTCTTATTGACAGCTTAAATATGTGCCTCAATGGTAATGAGGATGATGTGGAGCTGGTCGCTTGGACAATCGACAGTTTATGATTATCAAAACTCTCAACATTATTTAATTAATTCTTGTGCATGTACAAAACATGTTGTCACTCTATTATTATTTTAATCATCTGCAATACTTGTTTGCTTTCAACTAAATTATACCAATAAATTATTAATCTGACAGTAAATGATTTTTGAATAAATTATTTGGGAATTCGAAAGATATTGCACTGATGTGTTCACTTACGCAATCTGATGTAGGTATTTCGACGACTGTTAGAGACGGAGAGGTTTGTAGTCATTTTAGTATTTGACAATGAATGTCATTCCACCTCGGAACTCGACTGAATTGAGTTAAGACACAAGTGATCAATATTTTTAAGCAGTGTACACGTATCCTACTTACTGTGTTTCGTGTCTTTGGAGACCATATATAGGACGTATACATTGTACCTTTATGACACATATTTTACTTAACATCTCACCGGATACTCACACGAAAGTGAGCTAAACAGTAACTAATTATTGTAATAATGAGTTAAAACTATACGGATAACCGACAAGATTTCATTGTTAGTTAAGTTTTAATATTTTAAAAATTCAGTGATGTCTAATTACATGACCTCTGTGAATAAAGTCTTTATACATCTGGTTGCAACCAATCCTTTATTACTTTATCTAATTTTAATTAGAATTGACAGACATCTGAGTCATTTCAACGAAACCAGTTATTGTTTGTTTTGTTTGCTCTCTTCTATATATTTAAAAATTGTATGGAAGATACATAAACAAGCACTATTATATTTATTAAGAGTTAAAGAAATTAGGTTGAATAACGTTTCTCTCTTCACTAATTACTTGAGTCTAAAGTACATTTATATGTCGTAAATGTAGGAAGGAGTTTAATGAGAATATTTGTGTGTTAAATTAGTGATGTTATGTTATGATGAGAAAGCTGAATCAAGCTCACGTAGGTTTGTTTAGCAATATTTCTAACTTTTAGAGATATGAATTGTATTAACTTTCAGATTTTAATCAGAAAGGGTTTTGTGGAGATTTCAGTATTTTCATAGTTGAAATCATGAGTCGATTGAAGCTAGACCACCATGGAAAACCTGGAAGCACTGCTTGACGACCGTTTCGTCCTATTGAGGGACTCCTCAGCAATGCGCATCCACGATGTATTAGATAATTATTTGTTTAAAAAAATTAAAAACATGCAATTATCAACATTTTTGACCTGTAATAGTTGAAACTTTCAACATTAGAAATAATAACACTGAGTTTATTGTTTGTAGATATTTCGAAATAGTATGCATGTAAGCATCAGTTAGATTATTTCGATGTAAATTAAAATAAGTAGTACATGAATTAATGATGAAGATTATAGTTTCAACCATAAGTTATCTGCCATACAACTTTGAAATTCATTTGTTCCTTAAGATTAGCGAGTTACTCGATAATAAAATTAAGATAAGCTGTCACTCTATTATGATTCATCTATTAGACTTTGTATCTGATTTTGGACAATAATAATCTAAAGTGAATGGGAAACACACCAGTTGATAAACTAATCAATTTGGCATTATCCTTATACGTTTTAGAATTGTATTAGGTGCTAATTTTCAGTTCAATAAGATTAAACTAAACAAAATTCAAGTTTCTTTTTCATCAATATACTCTTACTAGGCCAAAATTTAATTATTTTTTACATTTCACTTAATAGAGTTAGCAAAATGATGAAATCACTAGTATCAGATCTCATTTCGTGTAAGAAAATCAAATGCAGTTGAATTTTACTGCTGTATAAAGAACAATCTTTTCTATGATTTCCAACTCAGGTTCCTCAGTAATTAACCATGAGTAATAATTTATTATGTCAGTGTGATACATTCTTATGCAAAGGTTTTGGATATTAGGATCCCATCCCTCTATGTTTAACTCCATATGTAGCCTTATAGTTGTATTTGGTTGACTAATCAAATCAAACTACTGATAGCAATGATATCTTGGCTCCGCTTAACTACCACTACGCTTGTTCTTTTATTCATCTGATTCTACTTTAATCTATTTCAGTCTGGCCCTTTAGATCAACGTCTATTTTTACTTACAAACAAATTAATTCCACTAGAATAGCTAACAGTGTAGTATTTGAGCGACTACATATATAAAACGTGATTTAGCAATTGAAGACAATGAAACTGTTAACGTGTATAAAAGTAGTCTGTTGAAATTATATGAATAAAAGGCTTAATTATTTGTAAACAATTTATCACCACATCCACTACGTTCCAAATTTAAATCGGGATCTCCGTAATTCACTTCGTGTCGCTTACAGGCATTCATCGAATGAATATCTGGATAAGTATTAAAAATCACTTCTAAATAGTCTAAAATGAAATCTTTATTTTCATAATTAACAGTTGAAGTTGGAATATACTTACTTTTCTCACTTCATATAAATGATCTCCTGACATTCATTGGTAAACAGTCCAGTTGGTGGTCAAGAATCATTTCCGCTTGTGCAAGTATCATCTATAAATTGGAATGACATTATACCCAGACGAATAGTCCTTCCTTTTGATAAGCTGAATTAATCTTCAGTATTTCTATATTAGTTAGGAAAAGTATGTACACTCCTCGCCAACTCTTTGTATTTTGTTAAAGAAAACTAGTTTATAACGGTAATTTTTTCCATAACTATTAGGATAGGGATGTTTAGAAGCAGTGGAGAACGGTTCGCACTTTAATCACAGAACAATCGAATTTTCAAATAGTCTTGGAAAAGTGTTTCCATTTTTTATTTGCAGTTGTACTTCCAAACAACTATAGATGGATTATTGCCGGTCAAGAAAGATTCCTAAGTCATAAACGAACAATGAATATTTTTAAATTCACTTGATATTGTTTGCTTGTATCTTCCCATTGTTGTTTAGGACTGCAATTGATCAGTCTCTTGTTAGCATATGTGCATCAGTTTTTTTGGTAACCAGTCAGCTTCAATCAGCTTGAATTCTATATTGTGATTCTACATAAATTATCATATTAAATGTTATATAGTTTGAACACGACTAATACGAATGTCCAGTTATGTTTTTAGTGTTTTTTTTATCACTATCACAGGACTAATTATCGCTGAAATCGTTTTCTTTTTTATATTTTCCCTATTGCATTAATATGCGGAAAATAACAGCTGTTCTCTACAAAAATATACTTTTAAAGAAATTAGATTTAACTGTAATTTTTCGCATAGCAACTAAATTCATTCTTCACCATGTTTATAAAGTCTTTCCACTTGTTTCCATCTAACAAAATATTTGATATGGAAAAAGATCTTTACAAGGTTTAATAATCGAACTGTACCCTGAAGACCCATTTAGGCATAAACACATACACAGAAAAATTGACATAATTTCATAAGTTTATATCTCTAGTGTAAAAAAGGTTTTTTTTTGTGATTTATGTACAGCAAATGACTGAACAAGTCATTTGATTCCTAGTTAAGTTACTCGAAATTTAACACTATTGATTATTCACCTTGTTTTTGAAACAAAACCACTATGGTTCTTGGTAATTGGCCAGACTCATGCACTATTCCCTAGATTTGTCATTTATGACATTCTTTTTTGCCACAATGGATGGAATGTCTTATTTACTGTTTCTTTTTTAGCTTGTTTTGGGATATTACCAAAAATGTTATTGTTTCAGAGTGTAATAATTTTTTTTTATTTTCGCGTAACACGTTTCATGGTGACATTCATTTTTTATTAACTAAGCTACTTACACTTTGCTTTAAAAATATGGAAATATTATCCAAAAATATTTTATACATTTCATTGTCTCATTAAATGAACTAAAATCATCGAACGCCACGAGAGTCATAACCGATAGGTTATTATAACCATTGTGATATTAGAATTAAATTGTTTTATTATATTTCATGGTATAATTAGATTTATATCTCATATCTTTCGTTTCATGCTAGAAAACATAATTTAGACAATGAGAATAAGCAACTTAGTACTGTTAACATACAGTTTAGGTATAACATGGTTGAGTAATAAATGAGTAATAAATAAATAGAACTATTTGCATATTGAGGTAAGGTGGTGGTTGGAGGTGGTCAACAGGAAACCCTGGACCCGGGTTTCGTGCTACTTGGCACTCGTCAGCAAGGTGTACCTGTAATCCAGAGGGAACTGATGCTCCCTGGCGGATTCGATCCCGCGTCACTCAGCTTCACAGTCAGAGACGTTACCACTGAGCTATTCGGGCCGCGACCAACCTCCTGTAGGACTGAGATGTAATCACAATTGATTGATCACTGGGTGGTGATCAATCTCATGCGTGTCAGGTCCTTCTTAGTGCTGATCGAATGCTATCGATCGAGTTGCAATGTGACCACCAGTCTAGGTGGCTCGACACTGCTTGCACTATGTATATTGAGGTAAGGTGGTGGTTGGAGGTGGTCAACAGGAAACCCTGGATCAATACATGCCTCGTTTTGGACTTTGTAAAATATTATAATTATGGACTTATAACTGTAGAGCCTGATGATGAAGTTATTGAAAACAATTGTTCGCTCTGATATTGTTCATTTTAGAACTATTTGCGTTCAATGTTTTTTATTCTATTTGGAATATTGCACTTGTTAATTTGTAGTGATTATCTTGATGAACATGTAATATACGGGAAGCGTGTTTGTGATAAACAATATATATATATATATATATATATACTTTAGTAGGTCATCCTGACGACTGTAAAAACAAATAGTGTTGACTTTGTCATACAATGTTAACTAAATGGCAATTTAATTATCTTTCGTATTGAATAAGACATGGTTTAAAAAAAATAAAATGTTTCTTTAAGATTCTGAAATAACACAAAATATTACATTAGTAAGTATATTTGAATGGAACATTACTATACTCCTTTAATAATAATGATTCCAGTTTGTTTGGTGATATTTGGAATTGTGATTCACTGGACAAGTTCATTTCATGAATGTTTTCAAAACCAGAATTCAAATGATTATGTAATGTGTCTAAGTTTTTTTTTG